CCCTCCCCCAACATACCGTCTCATGCTGCAATGGCGAGCTGGTGGCGGTCGGCCCACCAGAGGCGGACGGCACCGAGTTGGGGTTGGTCACCCGCCGACGGAGACCACCCACGGCAGGCTCCTGCTCAAGCAGCGGATTCGACCATACCACCCGGGACTTGGACGAGTGCCAGCGGGACTTGCCCGGGGGCACGTTGCTCATCATTGATCCCTCTGCCATCGACATCGTCAACCGCCACAGATGGGTGGGTGCAAGGCAGAGACAAGTGGCGAGGCTTGTGGGGCTTGCTGCTCGCTGGCTCACTACGATCTCAGGGCAGGGTAGAGACAGTTTTTGTTACTACTCGTCGGGGCCAAGGCCCTTGAGCCGGTCCATGTTGACGTTCTCGCGAGTCCGCTCCGGATCCATGACCGGGATGAGCCGGAGGAGGAAGCCGATGGGGAGCGAGATGATGCCAATGGCGAGGGCCAGGAGCCACTCGGTCCCGGTCTGGCCGGTCGTGGACGCAAAGTCACCGCCAACCTCAACGATGAAGACCTGCGCGAGGACGAGGCCAATCCAGATAACGACAAACAGGCGGTTGTCGACAATACCGGCCATCGGGTTGAGTCCGGGCTTGCCGTACGAGTGAGCGTTAATCTCGTTGAAGAGCTGGCACCAGACAAAGGCGTTGAAGACAAGCGTGTGGTGCTCGGTCGAGTCGCGAGCGAGGTCAAACACGTTGTGTCCGTCAAAGAGGAGCCAGAGTGTGGCCGCGAGCTGGAATGTGGCCTGGCCAAGGATGTTGATCCACATGGTCGGCGCGATGAGCGAGTCCGACATGCGCGTCGGCATGCGCTCAAGGAGCTCGTCGGTCGGCGGGTCGGTGGCAAGCGCCAGCGCGCCGAGCGTGTCCATGATGAGGTTGACCCAGAGGAGCTGGACGGCCTTGAGCGGCGACTCGCCGTCCTCGTTGGCCACCGCACCCACAAACGCCACTGTGACTGCCACAATGTTGACCGTCAGCTGGAACTGGAGGAACTTGCGAATCGAGTCATAGACCGAGCGGCCCCAGCGGAGGGCCACCACAATCGACGAGAACGCGTCGTCCATGAGGATGATGTCTGCAGCCTCCTTGGCAACGTCAGTTCCGGTGATACCCATGCCAAAGCCGATGTCAGCCTTGGAGAGTGCTGGCGCATCGTTGGTCCCGTCGCCGGTCACCGCCACCACCTCGCCAAAGTCGGTCTGCAGACGGTCGACGAGCCGCTGCTTGTCGAGCGGCGCCGCTCGTGCCACCACCGTGAGGTTCGGCAGAATGTGCTTGAGCTCGGCGTTAGTCGTCTGCGCAAAGTCCGGGCCCTCGAGCGCCACATCGTGCTCGGCGTCGTAGATGTGGCACTTGGTGCCGATGGCCTTGGCCGTCGCCAGGTTGTCGCCAGTCACCATGATGACCCGCACGCCTGCGCGCTGGACGGCACGCACCGCTCCGGGCACGTCGCTCCGGATCACGTCGTGGATGCCAAACAGGCCATCGAGCACAAGCTCCGACATATCCTCCTCCGAAAACTCGTTCTCCGGCATCGTGGCATAGTCGCGATGCGCGAGGCAGAGCGTCCGCAGCGCGTCGTCAGCCATGCTTCCGATCTTGGCCTCGAGCTCGGCAATCTCGCCCGACCGCATCGGCCGCGCCTGCCCGTTGCTGTCCATCACTTGCGTACACGCCGCGAGCACCCGCTCGGCCGCGCCCTTGACATAGAACCGGTATCCAGCGCCTTCGCGCTCGACCACCACCGCCGACCGCTTGCGCGACGATGAGAACGGGAAGGTCTCGACAATGCTGAGCGAGCCGTGCCCAAGCTTTGCGTCCTTGCGCATCACGTCGTAGCTCGCTAGCGACTTGACCTTGCCCGGGCATGCGTTGACAGCATTCCGCGCAAACTCCAGCAGCGCCATCTCAGTCGTCGAGCCCGACCACTCGATGTTCCCAGACTCACGCTCGACCTCGGCGGCCGTCGAGTTGATGGCAATGTTCTCTACCAGTGCGTGGAGGAGCGAGTCGTGCGGCGACGAGTCGCGCCAGCGCTCCGCCAGCTCGCCGAGCGCCGCCGTCTCCATCTGGTCAACGCCGTCGAGCGAGGCTGCAGCGACAATTCCGTCGACAACCGTCATCTGGTTCGCCGTGAGCGTCCCGGTCTTGTCCGACGCAATGACGGTGGCACGGCCCATGGTCTCGCATGCCGCGAGCGTGCGAACAAGGTTCTTCTCACGCAGCATGCGCAGCATGGCGTACGCCAGCGCGATAGTCACCGCCAGCGGGAGGCCCTCGGGTACCGCCACCACCGCAATGGTGATGCCCGTGGTGACAAACGAGGTGAGCCGGTCCAGCGTCCGCGCCGTCCGCAGCCGCTCGTTGTCTGACACTGCAGTGACAAAGTACTTGATGGCGAGAATGACAAAGAGCAGGCCGGCAATGGCAATGCCGAGCTTACCGATCGCCCGCGCCAGCGTGTCCAGCTGCCTCTGCAGCGGCGTGTCCTCGGGCGGGACACGGAGCGCCATGACTGCCCGCCCGTTGTGCGAGTTGATGCCGACGCCGGTCACCAGCATCAGGGCGTTGCCCTCCTGAATCTTGGAGCCCGAGATGAAAAACGGCTTGTCGCCCGACTTGCGGCAGAGGTCTGGCTCGCCGGTCTGGCCCGACTCGTCTGTCGCGCACGACGAGCCCGAGACATACAGCCCGTCAACAGGCACAATGTCCCCCGTCGAGAGCACAAGCAAGTCGCCCACAACCACGTCATGGACCGAGATCGAGACCGGGCCCTCCGACTCGGCGCGGATGACGTTGACATCGCGCGCGTCCTTGATTTTGTTCAGCTTCTGGAACTGCTTCTCGCGCTTGAAGTCGTTAATGGCCGTGACCAGAACCACAATGATGACCGCAATGAGAATAGCGGTTCCCTCGACCCACGGCGGCGGCGCAGAGTCTGAGTCGTCGGCATCGTCCGTAAACGCCATGCCCAGAATGAGCGAGATGAACGCCGCCGCAATGAGCAGGAGCAGGATAAAGTCGTTGAGCGTGTCCCAGCAGAGCTCAACAAAGCCCTTGGTGTCGGGATCAGGGAGCCGGTTGACGCCAAACCGCTCCTTCCGGGTCGGCACCTCGGACGACTTGACGCCGCGGGTGGTACTCGATCCCACTCCTTTCGCCACGCCCTCCACTCCGCCAAGCTCCTCCAGCTTGTTCTCGTTGGCGGGATACAGCTCGTAAAGCGAGTCGGCAGTGTATGACGCATCCTCGGCCCGGCCACGGCCTGCACCAACAGACGACACCGAGCTCCGCCGCTCCAGCCTCGCAGTCGCTGCACGGCGTTCGATTTCCCGCTTTCGCTCGCGGATAATACTCGCATGTCGCTTCAGCTGCCCTCCACCTCCAGCAGCCGGTGTCCGTGAAGACTTCTTCCCGCCGCTGTCGCCCTTGCTCGCAGCACCTGCCTTGGACTTGTTTTTGGTCTTTTTGTTCTCCGCAACGGCAACGTCAGCTCCCGCACGGCCACGACCACCGCCACGGCCACGACCATCACCACGACCACCACCATCAGCTACAGACTTTTTCGGCGGCATGGCCTCATACTCTTCCGAGTAGTAAGAGTACGAGTAAAAATCATCCTCAGACTCCATAGTCACTGCACAGTGGGGAACGCGGGGGTGAGGTGGGAAGTGAGAAGGGGTGAGGGGGGGGAGAGAGCCAGCGAGAGCGGTGTTCATACACCTGTTCGTAACGAATGCGGAATGTCAAATGATCACAGCATGATTCATGGTTAAAAGTGGGGACTGACGACGTGCTGACGCGGTTGAGTACACAGCTCCGCCACATGTGCTGGCTGACGTTTGAAGAGAAGAGCCATCATGATGCCACAAGTGATGGTGGGTTCGCTTCGAGTCTGGGTACGGCAGCGAGGTGGGAGCAGTGATCGATGTGTGTGTGTGGGGGGGGGGATAATGCACATGGTGGCCGATGTGCGGCACGGGGTGGGTTGGATTGGGACACACTAGCTGCAGTGGCGAGCGAGCGAGTATGAGCAGACCAAGACCTCGATGTCGAACCACAGCAGACCAGGTTGGTTCCGAATACCTCGCCGTGCCCTCTTCTCAGAACCGAGTGCTTCTTCCCGATCTGACGAGCGTGATTGATGAAGCCAAGAAAAGGGGTTGCCGAGCTGCCCGACGAGGCCAACCATCGCATTGTCTTCACCACAGCGCCATGGTTCGCGCCTGATGTGGGAGAGCTGGATAGGGCGGGGGTGGGTGGACGTACAATTGCGTGGGTTGGGAGAGTGGAGAGACTTTGTGTCTGCCACAGAGTTAGGTGCGTGCAGTGAGCAGTTGGCAGCGAGCAGATGGCAGCTAGCAGCGAGTGGCGGGTGACGGGCGGTCGGTTGGTGGCGGGGCGACGGCCAGGCGGGGAGGACCCATCACTGCACTCCTGTAGGATCAGCTAGGGCAGTGAGGGAGAGAGAGAAGGAAGGTGAAAATCGAGGGTACTGGGGGAGGATGTCGCACACGCTGATGGCCGAGTTGGGGATGGATGAGACGGAACTGATGCGGAGAGAGTTGGCGGCCAAGACAGCATACTGCGCCGGACTGGAGCACAAGTTGGCGGCCGCGCTGGTGGTGTGTGAGGAGAAGGCAGGTAAGGACAAGGTCAAGTCACTGCTGGCAGCCGAGCTGAAGGACTCTGTGGCGCGCATGGCCGCCTTTGAAGAGGCTCTCGAGGGCATGAGGGCAGAGTACGAGGCGCTGTATGTGGCCAAGGGCGCCGAGGCCGCCCGGAGGATGCTGGCCGAGGCGCGCGTGGCCGAGCTGGAGGCCCAGCTGGCGGCACTCCGGCTGACGTTGTCGCCTGATCCGCTGCGAACCATGCGTGCCACTGGTCCGGAGACGCTCTCCGACTCGGACGGAGTGACGCCGACCTCGCCGTCGTTCCCGCGCCCGTCGGAAGCGCCTGTGGCTAGTCCTGACCCGCCGCCGCGCGCGAATGCGCAGCCAGAGCCGGACTCTGTCCTGCTCTCAGACTCGATTACCATCTCGGACGTCACCCTGTCATCGTCGGACGATGCCGAGCTGGTGGCAATCGCCCAGCAGAGAGCCGAGTCCCTGACGCCGTCAATCTCGCTCTCAGTCTCGCTCTCGTCAGAGTCGGATGCTGAGCCTGGGCCGGTGCAAGTGCCAGAGCCGCGCCCGAGCAAGTCACAGCGTCGTCAGCGGCGCAAGCGTCCGCTGCCTGTAGCCCCGGTTGCGGCATCTGCTCCGGCTGTGGAGAGCCAGGAGCGCCCGGCGCCATCGCGCAGACGACGCAAGAAGAAGCGAGCATCCGAGGCCGAGGTGCCCGCTAAGCAGCGAGACCGCCGGCGGAAGAAGAAGCGAACGCGATCGTAGATGAACATGCCGCAAGAGCAGATGTAGTCTTTATGGCGGTGAGCGGCGATCCTGCTAGAGCAGGCCCGAGGTTCCAGGCTTGTGGCCAGCGTAGCCCGGGACTGCGTGGAGGATGTCCGGGAGGTGTGGATCGCGGGCGGCGGGCTCCTTGCCCTGCGGGCGATGACCTGTATAGCCTGGCATTGGAAGGCCCCTGTTGGCGAATGTGTAGCGGGCCTTCTCGCGAGCCCTAAAGTTGTTCTTGGTCGCCGCCCGGTTCTCCCGCAGCTTGCCCGACCCGGCGCCTTCCAGATGCTGCCGGGTGAGCAAGACCTCGTCTGCCACAGTCCGCAGCACCTCGACCGTTCTCGTCGACATGTCGATGCCGACCGTGCTCAGATCGACATCAACCCCTGCATCCCCCACCGGATCGACCTTCCAAGCTACCCCCGCCGTCGCCACAGCCGCCAGTCGAGTCCGTTACCCATCGCCGAGCCAGCCACCCACCACCGCCAACCACCGCCCGTCGCCGCACCCACCGAGCGCAAACCAGCCACAACCACAGTCGCCACACGTGTGAGTATGCGCACCACATCCGCATGTGAACTTCTCTACCGTATGCTACAGCAGCGCATGTGGCCCGCAGCCTGCCGCAGCTGACTCGAGTCAGCCAACGGACTCTCACCGAGCACCCACACACCCCAGCCACCCAGCTAACCATCACATGCGGAATATCAGCCTCAGCACCGACGCCCACTACCTCCGTACCTAGTGTGCTCATGGGTGTAAAGCTCTGGGCAATACGGCGTGATGGCAAGAGATCCTCCGAGCCCGTGGACATGGTCGTCGTTTGTTGGGTCGAGTGTGCCTCGCTGAGCCCTCGCCGTACTCGCCAAGGAGCCGGCTACCACATATCGCCCACTGCATCGACTTTATCCGATGATGTCTTGCACTCGGTCGGCATCATGGCTGTGGCTAATTGCGACCATCGTGGCCCAGCCTGTACGCTACATGGCGCGGTATCGCTACATCAGCCGTTGTCAATCGAGGTCACTAGGGAAGGAAGATTGGGGGGCGGGGGAGGGGGATCGACAGCAGCTGCGGCATACCTTTCTCGCATCCATGCAACGCCGGGGAGGTGGTCGAGGCTGGATGCCTGGCCCTGTGACGGTGGTAGTGGTGGCCGGCGTGCTCGTGCTCGCCACGCTGCTGACTCAGCTTGGCTTCGGTGAACGGCGGTCGGGGCTGGCAGGGCAACGGGCTGCTCTGCGGCCCGATGCACGCCCAACTACCTTTCCGCCGCCCTCGCCTGGGTCGCACCCATTGCCTGGTGGCGGACGTCGTGACATCGAAGTCTTTCGCTCGTTTGCGCTCCTGCCGGGCACCGCGCCGCTCCCGATCAGCCACGTCGCGCAAGCGCAGTACGACGCGGCGGCGGCGGTGGTGGTGGACGGCACGGCGGAGCCTGTGGTGGTGGCGAGTCCGTGGCCACCGTTTTCTTCTGATTGGGCCGAGACGGCGATGCCACTGGACGGATACCGCGGCGATTGCCTGCAAATGCGCCGGACGGTGCGCAATCCGCTGTGCCTGCGATCGGCGGCCGGCTGTGCGGCGAGTGACCGGCTGCTGGCCAGGGCCGGCGAGATCGAGATCTACTGGCACGAGCGGGCTGCAGCCGCAATCGGGAATGGGGTCGAGGTCTCGCCGTTGGTCCTAGCTCGGTGCAACGCACTCGAGCTGGCCTCGAGCTTTGTCGCCGAGGATGTGGAAGAGGCGTGCCTCGATGCAGAGCCTCTGCCAAGAGAGACGTCGCCGGCCAAGGCGGTGTGCGAGGCGGAACGGCGGCGGCTACGTGAGATCATGATGCCCGACGTGCTGTCGCACTGGCCTCGGATTTCGCCGCACGATGTGTGGCGCGTGCTCGGCAAGGAGCGGATGCTGGTGCTGGGCGGCGACTCGATCGCCAGCCAGCTCGACTCGCACCTCCGCTGTGCCATGATGGAGGAGGGTGCTGGGTCGATTAAGATCTCGCGGCCTGGGCAGGACGGCGGCGAGCAACTCGATCTCTTTGCCACCGTTGGGCCCAACGGCGCTGTCGTGGCCAAGACCATCCACTACCGGTACTCCCCGGCGCTGGTCGACGCGCTGCTCGAGATAGCAGACGTCATTGTCCTCAACGTTGGTCTCCACATCCGGATCAATGGGCCAGAGGACGAGATGATGTATGCGAACGAACTACGGGCGCTGTTCGGCCATGTCCGCGAGTGGGCCAAGGAGGCCGGACACGTGTTTGTGGCGCAGCAGACGTCAGCGCAGCACTTTCCACCACCACCGGAACAGGTATGTTTGAAGACGCACGGCTTGTTGCTGGCGCGCCTTGCAGCTGCAGTCCCATTGTCAACGGGACGCGCAAGCAGATCCGCAACGAGATCCTCAACGCGGTCGCGCGCGAGCTCGACCCCGACTCGGCATGGCTCCACATCCTTCCGCTCTACGAGCTGACCAAAGAGTCGCACCATGCGCATCTCGGCATGATCGAGCATCGCGATCCGGCGGTTGGCACCAGCTGCGACTGCACCCACTGGTGCTACGCGCCTGCTCTGACCGAGGCCTGGCTCGGCGCACTGTACCCGATTCTCTCTGCCGAGTTTAGCTGAGATGGCCAGAAGTCTTACACACTCGCACTTTCTTCCGAGCAGTTGGTAAATGACTGTTTGGTGCCAATCCATCAGCTGAGGGTTATCACAATGGTGGCCCTGGTCGTGAGCTGCGATGTCCTTCCAATAGAAGCCATGGAGCCTGTCGGGCTTCGGTCGACAGGCGGCGTTGGCAGGCTGAACCGGACAGCGGCAGCAGCAGTCACATCTGACTCTTGCCGTGAGCGAGAGGTAGCACGACAAACAGGAGAGAGCCGGAAATGACTGCTGCATCTGCAGCTGGCTACGCCGAGCGTGTGCTGGCTGTCCTCGGCGTGGCGTACTCGCGGGTGCTCCTGGCTCGGTTCAATGGCTCGCGAGGACACGGAAGCGATGATGCGGAGTCGGACGTGGATGTGTACATTGTGTACGCACCTTCGACAGAGGAAGTGCTTGTGGCTGGGCTGGAGGCATCAGTGGCGCCGCCGGATACGCTGACGACGTCGATCGAGGCTGGCGCCGGGCCAGGCATCGAGAAGACCACCGATGTGGCTCTGTACGAGGTTGGCAAGTTCCTCGCGCTCCTTCGAGCTGGCTCGCCGTTGGCGGTAGAGACGGTCTTTGCGCCGAGCGAGGACGTATATGTGGATCCACTTCTGGCGCCGGTGCTGGAGATGCGGGATGAGGTACTGACGCGAAAGGCGTTCCGCTCGCTGCTCGGGCACACCTCGTCCGAGTTCAAGCAGATTGAGCTGGCCGAGGCGCGCGGCGTAGGGTGGAGCAAGCTGCTGTACCATGCGCAGCGGCTGATGCTCGAGGTCGAGGCAGTGTACAGCGGGGGGCGACCGCAGGTCAAGTTTAGCGGAGAGACGCTGGCGGCGCTGATGGCGACCAAGCAAGGTAAGCTCGGCGGCGCCGGCGAGGCGGCGCTCCTGGAGAAGCTGCGGTCGCGCCATCAGCAGCTGCAGCGCGACGACCCTACGCCGGCGCATCTGCCTCAGGCGCTGCCTGTCAAGTACGCGCCATTCAACGAGCTGCTGCTAGCAATTCGTGAGGCGCTGTGGGTTGTGCCGCCGCCGGCAGCTACGAGAGCGAGCGAATGACGTTGAGTGGCGAGGTCCGGGTCGACATGTCGCCCATGATGGAGCGTAGGGCGGCGACCCAGCGGTCGCGGTCAGCTTTGTCGGCGGCCTCGAGAAGGTACTGCTTGTGGACAGCAATGAGGATAAGCTGGGTCGGCTTCTTCCCCTCGCGGACGCCGAGCATGGACGTAGTGAGGACCGAGCCGACTTGCGGCTTGCCGACGGCCGGGCGGTAGACAAGGACTTTTGAGGTGAGGGTAAAGTACCGCTTCTTCCAGCGCTTGAACGGACCGCCACGCTTGCGTAGCATGCCTTCGCACATGACGATCTTGTTGACGTCGCTGCCGGGCTTAGACCCGCTGCTCAGCGCGGCGGATTGGAAAGCCTTGAGGCGGGCGGTGTCGCCAGCGCAGAATGACGAGCGGCGGCGGTCGCGGGTGGTCGGAGGGGCAGCCGGCGCGTGCGAGCCGTGGTACTCGTGCTGCGACGGAGGCGGGAGGCAGGTCGCCCGCCCGCCCGGGGCCAACGTCGACGCCCGCTGTGAAAACGAGAGCCGCTGCGACGAGCGCGACGAGCCAGCGCCGCCGCTGGAGACGAGGCCGATGGTGCTGCCGGCACCGCCAGGGCCAGGCCCAGCCTGGGTGGAAGCCCCCTCGTTGGACGAGTCGCTCTCGGCACCGGCGACGGCAGGTGCGGTCGGGAGGCGGGTGCCTGGCGGGAGCGAGAGGACCGACATGACGGGTGAGGATGCGGCCGACGACGGCTCTTGTGCGGCGTGAAACTGCGAGGAGTCCGGCCGGAGCGAGTCCGTGTCGTCAGAGTCGGTCTCGGACTCGGACCGCCTGCCCATCCAGTTACGATCGTGAAGGAGAGCCGCAATGGCGGCGTCGCGGTCCGAAACTTCGAGCGACGACGACCGGCGCATGCGTGTGGTGACATAGACCGGCGAGCTGGGAAGGTACAGATTGGCCGCCATGAGGCCACCACCAGAAACATAGCCATTGACACCAAGGAGTGAGCCAGAGGTATCGTCTGGAGTCCCAACCAGTGGCGTAGCTGGCCACTCTACGGCCGAGAGCACGTCTGTTTCCGACGACATGGAAGCGCCCTGCATGACGGAGAGTCGAACTGCAGAGCTGACGCCTTCCACAGGCTCCAGAGCTTGTCTTGCCACAGTCACCAGGCCTCTATCTGCCACAAAGCCCAAAGCAACCGACTACGCTTAGCCCTTTGCCCCTATGAGGAGGGTGAGCAGAGGTGCAGCAGGTAGTACCGCTCGTGGAAGGTACGCGGGAAGGTGGGGGGGGGGGGGGCGGAGCGAGAGAGATGTTGGTGAGCGGTTAAAGCCTTTTTCCTTGTCCTTTTTGGGCCAAATGCTGTTTCGCTGCCCACGTGCACGCGTGCAGGGATTTGCGGCTTAGCTTGGAGCTTGCGTGGAGGGGGAGGTGGGGAGAGGTGGGGGGGATGGGGAGGATAGGAGGCGGGGGGAATGGAGGGGGAGGGGGGCTGGGAGGGGAGGGGAGGACAAGGGTGATGCCGTGATGCGGGGGGAGAGAGCCAGAGATGTGTGCCGAGATGGTGAGGTGGAGGAGAGGCGGAGGAGCTGGAGAGCTCTCGCTAATGGCACGTGCTGTCGCTGGCTGCAGTACAGTGGCGGGGGGAGGGGAGGGGGGGGAGAGATGGTACGTCTCTTCCTGCTCTACCTTGCATCAGCCTTGCATCCGCGGATGCGAGTCGTCGTTGTGCGAGCAGGTCATGGGAGGGAGAGGCGCGAAAAGGCACAATGGATCGCGACCGTGAGGGGTTGGCCAAGATGTGGCATGCTGGGATCTTGTCACTGGCGGTGTAGAGGGAGCTAGACGGAGAAGGGAGGGGGGGAGAGATGGGAGGGACGGGGAGGGAGGGCGGGCGAGTGCGACTCGATCGACAGCGACAGCTCGGCAACAGCGACAGCCAATGCCACAAGGTGACGGGCAGTGAGGGGGAGCGTGGTTGTGGCAACACACGTCGTGGTTGCCTCTCCTCCCCAACCATGTCGTCGTATGCAGACTGCCACTTCTTTGTGACGAGCAAGTGCACAAAGGTATGAGTGAGTGTGTGCTGGTGTGTGCGGGGGGGGGGGGGGAGGGGGAGGGCTGAGGCAGGGCGAGGTGGGCCAAGGAACAGGGACAAGGTCGCAAACTGACGGAAGGAGTTGGAGGGCGGTAACAGCAACCATGCCGGTTCAGGCACTGTGCTGCGGCGAGAAAGACTACGACAGTGTGCAGAGACTGGAAGGAAGACCAGTCGTGTACCAACATGCGGTGCCGGTTCCGGCATCCGTCGCGACCGATGGCGCCGTCGTCATCGAGGTACAGCTCGAGCTACCAGGCTTCGTCGGAGCGACCTGCTGGTATGGAGATGGGCGGAGGTGAAGGGGATCCTGGGGAGACGCCGTGTGTGTACGAGATGCAGGACTCGGGATGCATGCGCGGTGTGCTCTGCCCGTTTGTGCACGGGGCGGCGGCCCGGGCACTGAGGGCGCAGCAGAAGCGGACGCAGCCTGGGTACGCGCCACGGACCGGGGGTGGCGGGAGCGGCAGGAGCAGCGTGGCGGTGTGCATGTATGAGAACTCGCCGGGCGGGTGCCGCAACGGCGATGCGTGCACGTTCAGGCATGTGGGTCGGAAGCCGGCGGCTGCGCCGGCGCCGATGGAGGAGGCACGGCCGCGGATGAATGGGACCGACGCGCGCGAGCTGCTCAAGCGCAAACGGCCGTCGCTTGCGGCGCGACTCGGCCCGTTGCCGACGGCTCCGACGTCGTCAGGCGATGACGGGAGCGCAGCTGACGATGACGCGCCGCCGGCCAAGAAAACCAAGCCGCTGTCGGGCTCGAGCTCGGTCATGTCGCGGCTGGGGCCCCGGCTTGGCACTGCGCCCGCACCGGCCGGCGGAGCCAATGCTTCGACCGCCGCCGCGCCCAAGACAAAGGCCGCTGAGGCCGCCAAGGCCGGGTCAGCGGCCGGTAACGATGCCGACGCCGCAAAGGCTGCGGCTAAGGCCAGGTCGCAGGCCGCAGCTGCTGTCAAGGCCAAGGCTGATGCGATTGCCCGCGCCAAGGCTGTTGCAGCAGCCAAGGCCAAGGCTGCCGCCCGTGCCGAGGCCAAGGAGGAAGCCAAGACTACTGCCGCTGCTGCCGCCAAGGCGGAGGCGGAGGCGGCCGCCAAGGCCAAAGCGGAGGCGGAGGCGGCCGCCAAGGCCAAAGCGGAGGCGGAGGCAGCCGCCAAGGCCAAAGCGGAGGCGGAGGCAGCCGCCAAGGCCAAAGCGGAGGCGGAGGCAGCCGCCAAGGCCAAAGCGGAGGCGGAGGCGGCCGCCAAGGCCAAAGCGGAGGCGGAGGCAGCCGCCAAGGCGAAGGCCAAGGCAGACGTGGCCGCCAAGGCCAAGGCAGACGCGGCCGCCAAGGCCGGGGCTGATGCTGAGCCTGTGGACGATGTGCTCGCCATGCTCGATCAGGCGCTCAACGACTCGGACGACGACCTGTGACCGCCGGCCGAGGTCCAAAGCCAATTGAACGATTGCTACTATTCCCATCCAACCCGACCGACCAACCTTGTCGACTGCGGCCGATCCCGATCGTGATCTCGAGGCGGTGGCAAGGTCACACTGCACTCTCTGAGCCGGTAGACTTATGTCGTCGACGTCGTCGCCGGCACCGCTGTCGCCGACTACAGAGGGCGAGAGCTCGTCGCGGAAGCGGCGTGCGTCGGGAGCAGAGCTGGAGGACTACGCGGCGTCGCTGTCGCCAGAGGAGGCGGTGGCCGCGGCCGCCCTCCCTGGTTTTTCGCCGTCGTCGCTCAAGAAGGCGCGGCCTGCGCGCGGCGTGCAAGGCTCCATCCACCACATGGAGCTGACCAACTTCAAGTCGTACAAGGGCACGCAGATTGTGGGGCCTTTCAAGAACTTCCAGGCCGTCGTCGGCCCAAACGGTGCAGGTACGTGTCCGTCGGCTGCCGGCCGACCACCAGAAGAAGGCCGTGCGGCCAAAAAAGGTCGCAGAACGGGGCCCGTTGCCGGTGCCCTTGCAGCTTTTGAGGGGGCAGAGCTCCTGCTCGCGGCACGTTTGATGCCACCTCTATGACCCGCATGGTGGTGGGGGGATGTGGGGTGAGCGGGGTGAGCGGAGGGATGCTTCGGGAGGGTTCAGGTGGGTAGGGGGTGGGGGTGGGAGGCGGCGGGTGCCGGTTGATGGCTGGTAGATTCATGACGACTCACATTTGGGCGACTGGCCTTGCGGCGAGGTGCAGGCAAGTCGAACCTTATGGATGCGATTTCGTTTGTGCTTGGGGTGCGTACGCAGCAGCTGCGGTCAGCGCAGCTCCGGGATCTCATTCACCGGCCTGAAGGCGCATCTGAGCCGACGCATGGGGCGAGCGTGGCACTGGTGTTTGAGCCTGTGGGCGGCGAGACGCTCCGGTTCGAGCGGGTCATTTCTGCACGCGGCTCGTCGTCGTACAAGCTCAACGGCAAGACTGTGCCGTGGGCCAAGTACAACAAGACGCTTGAGGGACTGGGCATTCTTGTGGAGGCGCGCAACTTTCTTGTGTTCCAGGGCGACGTGGAGGCGATTGCGTCCAAGACGCCGATGGAGCTCTCGCTGCTGATGGAGCACGTCTCGGGCTCGATCGAGTTCAAGGATGAGTACGAGGCGCTGAAGCGGAGCAAAGAGAAGGCGGAGGAGAACACCATCTACAACTTTACCGCAAGAAGACGCTCAAGGCCGAGAAGAAGCAGTACAAGCAGCAGAAGGACGAGGCCGAGGCGTGGCTGGCGCTGACGCAGGAGCGCAAGGCGATCAGCCAGGAGCAGGCGCTCTTTCAGCTCTTCCACATTGCCAACGAGCTTGAGCTGCTCTCGGTGACACTCGCGGCGCAAAAGGAGGAACAGGCATCGGTTGGCTCGCGGAAGGAGCACATGGCGAGCACGGTGGCTCAGCAGAAGAAGGAGCTGGCCAAGGCGCACCGGGTGGTGCTCTCGCTACAGAAGAAGATGCTTGGCATCCAGAGCTCCAAGTCCAAGGCCAAGCCGGGCCTCATCAAGGCCAAGACGCAGATCGAGCACGTGACGCGCAAGCTGGCTGAGAAGCGCGACGCGCTGACACGCAAGGAAGGCGAGGCCGAAAAGCAGGCGACTGAGCTCGCGTCGCTCAATGCCATGCTTGCCGAGGTCGACGCTCTGGCGAGCGCGTTTGAGGCCTCGCTGCCCGAGGCGCTGCGGGTGGCCGGGGCGGGGCTCGGCGGAGAGGCCGCCGAGGTCGAGGCCACCGACGAGCTCTCGTCGTCGCTCCTCAACGCGTCGTCGCGGCTCGACGAGGTGCTGACGCGGGAGCAGCTGACCGAGTACCACGACCTCAAGGCGGCTGCGGCTGCCGAGACCGGAACGCTGACGCAGGAGCTCGCGTCTGCGCGGCGCAAGGTTGACGACGAACGATCGCGGCTTGTGGTGAACCAGAACAAGGCCGACGAGATCCGTGCCCGGATCTCACTCCTCCGCGAGCAGATGGGCACGCTCGAAGCTCGGCTGAGCCAGGGCGAGGCGTACGTGGCCAAGACGAGCGCAGAGCGCGAGCGCAAGGCGAGCGCGCACGCGACAATGGCGTCGCGGGTGGCCAACACGGCGGTGCGGATGGAGGAGGTGACTGCGCTGCTGCAGGAGACGCAAGCTGAGCTGCAGGAGGTGACTGCGGCGCAGCGCAAGTCGAGCCACGAGGCCAAGCTCGCCGAGGCGCTGGCGGCGATGAAGCGGCTGTTCCCGGGTGTGCACGGCAAGGTGGTGCACCTCTGCGCGACGCAGCCCAAGTACCAGCTTGCGCTGACGGTGGCCATGGGCCGGTACGTCGACGCCGTGGTTGTGGACACGCAGGCGACGGCCATCGAGTGCATCGAGTACATGCGCGAGAACCGGATCGGGACGGCGACCTTCCTTCCACTCAACTCGCTCAAGGTCAAGGCCATCGACGAGCGGTTCCGGTCGCTGGGTGGGACGGCGACGCTCGCGGTCGACGTCATCGAGTACGACGAGACCTTTGCGCCGGCCTTTGAGTTTATTCTGGGCAACACGGTGCTGTGCCAAGGCCTGTCCGAGGCGCGGACGCTGGCGTTTGCGACGCGCGGTGTGCTGACGGGCGTGCGCAAAAAGGTGGTGACGTGGGATGGGACCAAGATCACCAAGTCGGGCCTCATCACCGGCGGCTCTGCCGGCGACGAGGCGTCGACGGCGGCACTGTGGACCGAGAAGCGGGTCGAGCACTGCATGAAGAAGCGGACCGAGTACGAGAAGGAGCTGGCGGCGCTGGCGCAGGAGCGGCGGCTCAAGACGCAGGCCGAGCGACTGCTCGAGGGTCTCAACGCTATCGACGCGCGGCTGAGCTCGGCAAAGGCGGATGTGGCCAAGACCAGCGACTCGCTTGCCGACGCGCAAACCGAGGCAACGGCGCTCGAGGCCAAGCTCGAAGGTCTCACCCCAGCCATCGAAGCGCTGGCTGCCGCCGTGGCCAGCGGCGAGGCCCGGGTCGCCGAGCTCGAGGCGCAGATCGCGGCCGTGGAGGACGAGATGTTTGGCGCGTTCTCGCGGGCGGTGGGCGTGGCCTCGATCCGCGAGCTGGAGCAGTCTGCAGTGGCCGAGGCCCAGCGGGCGGCCAAAAAGCGGCTGCAGTTTTCCAAGCAGCGCGCCAAGCTGCTCAACCAGATCTCGTACACGTCTGCGGCAGACCACGGGCCCGAGGTGGCGGCGCTGAAGGCGTCCATCGAGGCCGACGAGGCGCGCCTGGTCGAGCTGCAGGATGCGGCAAGTGCTGCCTCGGCCAAGATGGACGCGCTCCTCGCCGACGAGGCTGAGCTCACCAGCAAGCTGGCCGCTGCGCGCGAGGCCGAGGAGGGCATCGCGCGCCAGGTCAAAAACCTCAAGGCCGACGAGGTGCGGCTGGGCAAGGAAGCCGTGGCGCTCGCGACGGCCATCGCGTCGTCCGAGGGCGCGGCCGAGGCGCTCGTCGCTAAGCGACAGGCCATTTTCCAGCGGTGCACAGTGGACGAGATCCCAGTCCCGCTCCGCGCCGGCGGCTTCCTCACCGATGCGGCGGTGCTTGCCGGTGGCGATGCGGTCGAGGTGGACTTTTCAGGCCTCGCCCGCGCGCTCAAGGCTGTCGACCGCGCCACTGACCGCATGCCGGCAGACAAGTACGCCAAGTACGACGCCGCGTTTGAAGAGCGCCTCCGCCAAATCTCCAAGGACATCGAGACCATGGCGCCGAACCTCAAGGCCATCGAGCGGCTCGACGAGCTCGCGGCCAAGTTCAAGGAGACGTCGGCCGAGTTTGACCACGCCCGCTCAGAATCCAAGGTTGCCAACGAGCGCTTTGCACGCATCCAGAAGCTGCGGACCGACCGCTACCGCGACGCGTACGACCACATCGCGCGGGTCATCGACGAGATCTACAAGGAGCTCACAAAGTCGGAACTCAACTACGCGGGTGGCACCGCGTTCCTCTCGCTCGAGTCGCCCGAAGAGCCGTACCTCCGCGGCGTCAAGTTCAACGCCATGCCGCCCAACAAGCGGTTCCGCAACATGGAGGACCTGTCCGGCGGTGAGAAGACCGTCGCCGCCCTCGCCCTCCTCTTTGCCATCCACTCGTACCGGCCGTCGCCGTTCTTTGTCATGGACGAGGTCGATGCCGCCCTCGACTCCAAGAACGTCAAGCGCGTCGCCGAGTACATCCGCACCCGCTCCTCAGACTTTCAGTGTATCGTCATCTCGCTCAAGGACACGTTTTTGACAAGGCTGACGCCCTCGTCGGCGTCTACCGCGAGCGCGCTGACGAGCCCGACGGCGCTGCCTCGTCGTCGCCGTCACCCGAGCCCGAGGCCGAGCCGCCTGCCCTCCCCACCTTTTCGCGCACTCTCACCCTTGATCTCCGCGACTATGCATAGCTTTCTCTGCACCCAGTTGTTTTAAATGATGTTGATCAATCGCTGGACATGCACACGCACACACACCTCGCTCTACAGGTTCTCCCTCTCTCCCTCTCCACGAACGGCCACGCACAGTGCGACTCGGCCGACTCCCTGCCAACTCGGGGCGAATGGCAAACTCACTGCCCGCGCCCGCGCCACGCCACTCACCGCGCCACGCCACGCCACTCACCACGCCACTCCCCCCACCGCCCACCCCCCCCCCCCCCCACCCCACCACCACCAACCACCACCACCAACCACCACCACCAACCACACACCCTTGTAATCACCATGGTGCACCGAGTGTGGATAGAGCGGTATGTGCTCCTCGCAGTTGCAGCTGTGGCTGTGGCAGTCATTGCCGGCGGCGCCCTGACCACCACCCAATGCGCCCGCCATTTGCTGTGGTCGGCCACGGCGCCGACCTCCTCGCACTCGAAGCCAACCGGGGCGAGCCGTTCCAGTCCAGGGTCTGGGTATGGCTCTGCGGGCACTGCCGGTGCAGTTGGAAGCCATGGCGCACCCCTCCCGCCATCGGCAGAACACGGATCGTGGTGGTCGTGGTCACCGTCGCCCTCTCACTCATCTCCGGCGTCGTCGTCATCATCGTCGTCCTCGTCGTCGTCCGCCCACTCGTACTCGACACTCAACAAGTACACCGGGTACGCTGAGTGCTACCTGGTCTCGCTATATCAGGCCTCGCTACGGGCACTGTGGATCTCGCTGGTGGCGCCTGTTCGGGCCATGGCGTGGTGTCCCTCGCCGCAGGCCGAGGCCGGGGCGCTTGATGCCAGCGGAGATCCTTTGCCTCTGTCGCCGTTTTGCGAGTCGTCGCTGCTGGTGATGCGGGTGACCAGCAGCGTACTCGAGGTTGTGCTCCTCTCACCAGCGTCGTACGTCCACAAGCTGTACTTGGCGCTTAACGGGGCGGCATTTGCGGCGTACAAGGCGGTGCTGCTGGCGACGCTGCCGGGCGAGGTGGCGGCGGCGATGATGCCGGCGGCGGTCGGTGCCGCCGGCCAGGCGCAGGCCGGTGGAAATCCGTGGGATGCATCGCCGGGCAGGAGCAGCGGGGGCTTTGACGACGCTTCCGCCCCGGGCGCAGCACAGCCTGGTGCGCTGTATGTGCTCGGCTCGCTGAGCTCGCTTGTGATGGGCGGGCTGTACGGCGGCGCCATGCTTGCGGGAGTGTGGGACGTAGTGCAGTACGCCAACGTGGCGTGGCTGGCGGTGGCGTGCCTCGGCGGCACGGTGCGGACGGTGGCATCGGGCGTGCTTGCGATGTCCAAGGCTGTGAGCGAGCGGACTCCGCTGGCGGCGGTGGTGGCGCTCGCATGGCTCCCGATGGTGGTGGCTGCCGGCAACGCTGCGCTCTTCCTCGTCCTCCTCACCTTGCCTGCACTGTCGCTCGGGCTGATGGCGCAAGTGCCTGCTGTTGTTGTCGGCATCCTTGTCGGGCCGAGTCTCTGGGCTGGCCAGCTGAGCACCTCGCTCATGTGGGCTGTCTCGACGCTCGGGATGTGGCTGGTGGCACGACTCGTCAAGGAGGCGCACCTTGGGACAGCGCGGCTGTTCTTTATGGTCTACTTTGACTCGACGCTGGTGGCGGACGAGTCTGTCCTTGTCCACGCGCTTGCCCTTGTGGCCTTCCGGGTCCTTCTCACGCCCATCGACCGGGCCGGGCTCCGGGGCGTGGCCGCCATCCTCGAGTGGCAGTCGCTCCTCGACCTCCTCGACGACTACACATACTACTCGACACCGCGCGAGTCGCGCAAGCCAGTGGCGAACGGCATCGGGACCGCGACCGTGACTATGCCGCCGTCGTCGGCCCGCAAACAGCGCGCGGCGCTGGTGGCATCCAACAAGTGGAGTAGCGGGAACAAGGCCAGGCGTGCACCGCAGCGCCATCTCCCGCCGCCGCCGCCGCCGCCGATCCTTTCGCCGATTGCGCCACGGGCGCCTACCCCCCGGGGGTTCTCGACCTCGGTCGAGGCCGCCGACCCGCTCGACGACGAGCGGGTCACCTCGTTTGTGGCATACGCCGACTCGGACGACGACGAGACGACCCTCGACCGCCGCCTCGACGCCGAGCTTGTCAAGCGGCTCGGTCTGCCGCCGCCGGCCCGACCGCTATCGTCGCGGCCAGGCACGGATCGCCGGCGTCCCTCGCGCTCGGTCTCGGTCCTCGGCTCGGTCGCGCGCTCGGTCGCGCGCTCGGTTTCGGTCGCGCTCGCGCGGGTCGACGATGTCGTCCGCGCCGTCGACGAGTCGCGCCCGAACCTGCGGTCGCCGCCGCCGGTCTCGGCGCGGCCGGCTGTCCTGCGGCGGTCGTTGCGGCTCTCTGCCAAGAAGGGCGCGTGAGAAGTTGTTAAATGCAAGACAGCCTCTGGCATCGGAGAGAGTGTTATGATCGTGGGGAGGGAGGCTACGAGGCCGAGCCGGCCGCAGCGAGCTTGGCCTGAAGCTTGGCCACCATGTCCTTATACTCGGAGAGCTCCGGTGACTCGGTGTGGACCGAGGCGAGCTGGAGCTTGACGGAGCGGACGCGAGCAGCAAAGGTGAGCGAGCAGATTGTCTCGGGCGCGTTGTACGAGCCCGGGGCAACCTGGACAAACATGAGGGTCTTTGAGTCGCCACCGAGCGAGTCGGCGAGGAGAAAAGTGAGCTTGGAGTTGCGGTAGGGGATGTGGGCCTTGTTCTTGGCGGTGAGCGACTGGATGACGTCGCCGAGGGCCGAGAGTGAGCGGTTGATGTTCTGGGCCTCCTTGAGGCGCTCGGCGGTGACGCCCGACTTTGCGACGCGCTCTGAGCCGGCCAGGTCGACGAGCGAGAGCTTGCCGACGGTGGCGATGCGCGAGATCTTGTTCTGGCAGCGGGCGACGATGCGAAGGATGGCGTGCGAGCGTGACGAGTGCTCGTTCATGTCTGTGGCAAAGGTGGAGCGGTTGGCGGCGCCGCGCTGGATGACAGCAAGCACGTCGTCGAGCGAGGAGCATGTCTCCTCGACGAGGCCGGGCACGTCGATGCCCTGGGCGCCCATGCGGATGTCGAGGCGTGCCTGGATCGAGTGGACGCCCTCGGCCGGCGGCTCGGCGAGCAGGTCGTAGATGTTCTCGTTGTAGATTTCCATGTTAGAGACGGTGATCGAGATGTCGTAGTCCTCGGAGCGCTCGTCGGCGATGCGGAAGAGCTCCTGCAGGGTCCGCTTGTTGATGCCAGGGTTCTCTGGCGGACCCTCCATGGTGTACGTCTTGCCGGAGCCGGTCTGTCCGTAGGCAAAGATGCACACGTTGTAGCCGTCGAGGACCGAGGTGACCAGCGGCTTGGTGTCCTGGAACACCTCGTCCTGCTTAGTGCCCGGCCCGTAGACGCGGTCAAACTTGAAGATCTTGCGGATCTCCTCGCCGCGCGAGGTGTCGACCACAGCAATCTCCTCGTTGTTCATCGCGGTCGCCGCCATGATCTGCCCGGCGCCCAGCTCGGCCTCGGACAGCGGACGGGTCCGACAGTACACGCGGATGTTGCCGCGCATCTCCTGCAGCTTGTTGTACAGCTTCTTGTTCTTTTGCATGGCGACGCGGTACTTGGCCACCGCAGCCTCGGTCCGCTCAGACTCTTCCTCCACCTTGTCGCGGACCATGTCGGCAAACTGCTGGATGTCCGGCCCGATTGTCTTGCGCTGCCGGTACGCCTCGTCCTTGAGCGCTGCAAAGTCGGACCGCAGGCTCACAAACTTGCGGTGCAGCGCACGGACGCCGTTGGCAAAGTCGGCTGTCCCGACGCCGCAAGCGTCCGCTTGAGCTTCTTCAGCATCGCCTCCTTCTGCTCGGCATCGGTGGCAGAGAGCGCCTCCAGCTCGTCGATGCGCTGCTGCAGCGCCTTGCGCTCCTCCTCGCGCTTGCTCTCCTCGGCATGCATCTGCTTCTCCATCCATTCCTTGAGCTTCAGCTCCTTGGCGGCAAACTCAGACTGCATCTTCTCCAGCTCGGCCGCCGGCACCGAGCCGCCAGCACCGTCGGCTCCATCGGCCTCGTCACCCTCGTCGCCCTCGTCGCCGGCCTCGCTCTTGCCGGTCACCGCCGCCAGCTTCTGCTTGTACTTGGCCTCCCGCTTCTGAAGCTTTGCAACTTGGGCCTGCAGCGCCTGCACCTCAGCCCCATCCCCGCCCGCTCCACTGGCCGAGCCCACCGGCGGGCCGTTGAGCAGCTCCTCGCGAGCGTCGAGCAGCTCCTTGTGGGTCTTCCGCACAGCCGCCAGCTCCTTCTCCAGCCGCTCGAACGAGTCCCTCACCGTCTGTTCCAGCACCTTGTTCTCTATCTCCCCCAGTCCCCACCGCCACCGTCACACCCACCAGTCCGTCCGTTCCCCCCCCCCACCCCGGATTTCCCATGCCCATGTCCAACCCAGCCAACCAGTGAGTCGCACCGTCCGCCTGCTGTGAGCGGACTATTTTTTTGCTCTCCAACCAACGATCATGACCACGTCTGAACGATGACATGCTCTCAGCCAACGATCATTGCCATTGTTGAGGACATATGCTTGTGATGGAGAACGCCATCATTCCATGGGCAGCCATCTCAAGCTCATGCCATCGTAATCGTTGCCATTCGCCGGCCGATGCTCTCATCATCGTCCACCGCTCGCCGGCCGAACCTCCCGCCCACCACTGAGGCACCGGCCACACACACACACCTCCTCCGCACGTATGCGTGCTGTCGAGGGCGGGAAAGGGGGTGAGTGGGGTGGGACAAAGGCTGACGTACCTTTGAGTACAATCTTCAGCTTCTTACGGAGCTTCAGATTCTCCTGCTCCTTGGCTGAAGACATGGTGGTCTCCGCTGAGGGAGAGGGTCAGGTGGTGTCTTTGGACGCCCGCCCGCCCGACTCGCCCGCCACACTCGCCGGCTCGACCGACATGCCCCGCTGACCATCCATCCGACTGGACACATTGATCGATCCAAGCCGGGTTCTGGACATCGATGATTTGGGTTTAGATGGGCGGTGCGGGAGAGGGTAGGAGGGGGGGGGGGCAACGGGGTGATGAAGGGCGGAGAAGTGGTCGTGTGGTCGGACTTGGGGTGCGGTTGAGTGGGGTGACTGTGGGGACGGGTGGACTGCGTATAAAAGCATGAAAAGGTGAGCATGTGTACCACAGAGGTAGCTGTTGTGTGTTGCGCGCGGCAGTGTGCGTGCAATCGACAACGATGGCCTGTATCGTGGTTTGTCTCGCCATGCCCACAGCATCAAGTCTCCCTTGCAATTGCGGTGACATAGTAAACATTACGCAAAGATCTGACGGATCATGTTTTTTCTCAGTCACCCATGACAAGAACATACACCGTCACACCTGATACGACACGTTACACCTTTAGCAGCTACACAGCACCTTGACAACTATCTCAGATAGTACATATCCAACTTTGAGCGCGTCCATGATCTTAAAGCAGCCAATAGAGCCCCAAATCATCAAACTGGGCGCGGATGTGTACCTCGTCGCGGCAAATCAACTCAAATGGCGCGCAACGGCAGCGGTGGCGGAGGCGAAGCAGACAGGGGAGACCAAGTGCTCTCTCTATATCTTTCTGTGATGCTCAAGTTGCTGGGATTGGGGCATCGGCACTCGCATGGCGCGGGTCGCAGGCTCTCTGCGCGGGACCAGTCGCGGAGGCGAGGTGCTGCGGCGCTGGCTGTGTTGTGTGGGGTGGCGAGTCTGACCTTTGTGTTCTTTCTTCCGGACGAGGCGTCGCCTGTCCGACGGGCGCTGTTTGCGCCACATGATCCGTGCCTCTCGGTGGTGTACACAAGCGCAGCGGCGATGGCCAAGGGCGTGCTGGGCCAAGCCCGAGGGCTTGTGGCCGAGCTTGTAGTCTTTGACAAGGATGGCCAGTGCTCGGTGGAGGCTATTCAGGCGGCGGCAAGTCCGCGGCTGGTCCTCGCTGCCGACGCACCGTTCTGCGCCAAGCAGAGCGCGTGGCTTCTGCCATCGCAACAGAGCGCGAGCGGGCTGCGGGTCCTAGTCGATGAGCAGCCGCTGGAGAAGCACGCGGCAGTGGCCGAGCTAGGCGTGGACGGCAGCGGCGGCAGCGGTCGGCAGGGAGAGCCTGCGTATGCGGTGGCACGGGTGTGCCCGACAAGCAACGGCGGGCATTGGCGGCTTGTAGAGCGAGTCTTCCACGTCTTTGAGGCAGAAGCCAACAGCAAGTAGCCAGCAGCAAGGAGCGGGACTTGTCCTATCCGCGCTTGGCCGAGCGGCGCTCCTTGGACGAGCCGCGGGCGGAGCCGGCTGGTGAGTTGCGGCGGGTCTTCTTGGACGACGCAGTCGTCGCACGCATGTACGACGGCACGCTCTTGGCCGAGGAGGTGAGGGTCGAGCTCACCGACCGCGGCGAGGCGCGCATGAGGTGACTCCCGCTCGGTGGTCCCGAGGTGGTAGTAGCAGCGTCGGCGGCGGAGGTGTTGAGCATCGGCATCGACGAGTGGCCCTCGCCCGAGAGCGAGCGCTTTCGGCTGGACGGCGCAGCGACGATCGATCTCGGCGAGAGCTTGCGGGTGCGCTCGCCCTGGGAAGCGGCAATGCGCGAGATAGACAAGGGAACGACGTTGTGGACGACCGATGGCGCCAAGCTGACGTCCTGGTCCGAAGCCAGCGAGCCGGAGTCTGCGCCAGCAGAGTCGATGGCGGCATCGTCTGATACTTGATCGTTGTCGTCTGCAGGGATGCCGGCTGGTGAGTCAGGCGGTAGCTCTGAGCCTGTAGCGGAGCGGCCGATGCCGCGCCAGAGATAGGCGGTGGCCAGAACGACATGCATGGCCTTGCGGAGGCGTGCGCGGGCCTTGAAGGATAGAAGCATCTCAAACATGGTAGGCTGGATGACGGCGTCGGCATCGGCTTGGCCGGTCAGCCACGGATGGGTCAGGGCCTCGGCGGCCGAGTAGCGCTCGATGGGGTTGACAGCCAAGAGCCGGGCGAGCAGGTCTGCGCCGAGGTCCGAGAGTGGGACGTGCGGCGGGAGTGAGTACTCGCCGCCAGCAATGAGGGCAAAGAGAGCCTCGGTCGACTTTGAGCGGAATGGCAGCTTGCCGACGAGCAGAACGTACATGATGATGCCGAGTGACCAGACGTCGCACTTTTCCGAGTAGACCTGGCGGTCGTTGATGACCTCGGGCGCCATGTACGCCGGCGTTCCGCACTTGTCGTCCATGACGTGGTCCGAGTCCATGCGGTAGGAGAGGCCAAAGTCGGAGACCTTGATCTTGGACAAGTCGTCCTTGACCAGCAGGATGTTGGCAGGCTTGAGGTCGCGATGCGCAATGCGCTGCGAGTGCATGTAGCCGATGGCCTCGAGCAGCTGCTTCATCACCACGCGGGTCTCGGCTTCCGAGAGTGGGTGCGCCGAGGAGACCCGGTCACGGAGCTCAAACTCACACAGCTCCATGACAATATACATGTGCATGTCTGTCTGCATCACCCGCTTGAGCTGGACTACCGACTTGTGGTGCAGCCGCTTCATGATGCCTACCTCGTAGAGCAGACCCTTAAACGACGACTCGTCGGTCTTCTTCAGCTCCACGGTCTTGATAGCGTACTCCTCGCCCGACACCACATCTCTGCAGCGATAGACTGTGCCGTACGCTCCCTGGCCCAGCACGTCCAGGATCTCGTAGTAGTCCTCGACCTCGCGGACAAGCTCGCCCATGCTGTCGCCATCGATGGCAAGCGAGATTCGCCGCCGCCGCTCCAGCGCGCTCGACGTCGATCCCCTGCGCTCGTTGGCCGAGCCCTTGCTTCTTGCGCCACCCTTTGTGCTGCGCATTCTAAGCGGCGACAGCGTAGACGCTGAGCCTGACGCAGGCGGAGCTAGCCGGGCAGAGGGGCGGCCTTCCCGTCCGCTCCCGCCCGCCGACCGCAGGCCAGAGGAGTTCTTCGCCGACGTACGCCTGCCGACAGGCCGGGCGCCACCACTTGCAGAGCCACCATGGCGTGAGCGAGAGTCCCCCGAGCCAGACAGCTCGCCTCCTCCTGTTGCATTCTTCCCAGCCGAGCCTCTTGACGCCCGTGAGCTGCCTGGCGTTGTTCCTCTCGACGAGGCCGACCCGCTGGCACCACCACCAACCGGTTGGCGACTCTGAGCTCTCCCTGGGAGACCCGGACCAGCCGAGGCAGACAGACCACGACCAGAACGAGAGCCTGTCTCACTCTCGCCTATTGTACCATTGCCTTCGGAGCCTCCTTGTCCTCCTCGCTTGCTGCTGCCTCGCCTCATCACCCACGCCCACCACGACCCTCGGTGAGTGCGATGTGCTCCAAACAACCGTCCGCCCATCGAACGTTGCCAATGGACGTTGTCATGCCACCTGCCGCACGGATCGGCTTGGCCCACCATATCAGGCCACCCATCGATTCGCTCACACTGCGCATCTTACAGCTGCTACTCATTGGACGAGCAGCAGGTATGGCGGGCCGACAGCAGCTGTGTGTGTGTGTGGGGGGGGGGGGGGGGGGCGGATGCTTGTTGGTGAACGTGTGTTTGATCGAGAGTGATAGTGGTGCTGGGTGCGCAAGGTGGCGCCAGCAGCGGTGGCGGGTGCGAGCTGGCGGTGCGTTGCGAGCGGGGGTGGGAGCACACCTGTCGTTAGTAGCGGGCAAGAAGGCACCCAGGGACAAGACCAGGCAGGACCACTTGCTTGGTGCTGGTTTAAAGGGCAGGAGAAGCAGCACGAGCCAGAGTCAGAGCGCGAGCCTGAGCGAGAGCCGGAGCCTGGGCGAGAGCCAGAGCCAGAGCCAGAGCCAGAGCCAGAGCCAGAGCCAGAGCCAGAGTGAGCGCGAGGGCGAGCGGGAGCAATTGAGCCAGACAGAGCACGTATACACAACATGGCATCATCATCGAGGCAACTGCGCGAGCCGATGCGGATCAAGATTTTGTCCATGGGATCGGGCGGTGTCGGCAAGTCGTGCCTCATCAAGCGGTACTGCGAGGGACGGGTATGTAGGGAGTGGGAGCGTAATGGTGAGGGGGCGGGTGGGCGGCGAGGGGGGGGGGGATGAGGAATGGGTGCGCATGGCAGAACAGCTCACGATGGAGAGAAATCGCCATGTCTGTGGGACGGATGTGTATGGATATTGGGGGGGGGGGGGGGAGGCGGACGGGCGGACAGTTTGTGGGCAAGTACATCTCGACCATCGGGGTGGACTACGGCGTGAAGACGGTGCCGTACGATAACTACGATCTCAAGGTCAACTTCTGGGATCTTTCCGGCCATCCTGAGTTCTTTGACGTCCGCAACGAGTTCTACAGAGATACACAGGGCGCTATGCTGGTCTTTGACGTCTCGTCTCGCTCGTCGTTTGCTGATCTTGAGGCGTGGATCCGCGAGGCCGAGCAGTACGGCGCCGGTGACGCTCAGATCATTGTCGTCGGAAACAAGGTTGATCTGGACCGGACCGTCTCGGCCAAGGAAGGCAAGGCATGGGCCCGTGCTCATGGCTACGAGTACTTTGAGGCCTCGGCCAAGTCCGGCGAGGGCGTCGACGACATCTTTGAGCACCTCTTCGAGTCCATCGCCTCAGCCAACCAGCTGACCTGATTGCCGTCATGGCGGAGCAAGTGAACGAACGATCCATGCCTTTCCCCTCAGTAGCTGTACATTGATCTGTGTCGTTGGCACAAGCGGAGTCCTGTCTGCGCCACACGTGTCTCGTGACTGGTCCGGCTTCCATGGCGTCCGAGCCTGACAGCTCTGTCATCGAGATCGCCACCGGGATTCGGCGCGTGGTCGTCTACGCCATGTCTGACCTCCATGTCGACGAGTCACCCAACTCGGTGGTCCTGGATCGGCTGGTCGACGAGCTGGAGGGCGACAGCGGCAGCGGGAGCAGTAGCGCGAGCGGCGAGCCGGAGGCCGAGAGCGCGTTCCGATTGGCCGTCGTGGCGGGTGACGTGGCGCGGCGGCACGAGGACGTCGGTGCGGCTCTGCTTGCGCTCGTGGCTGTCTTTGACGCTGTTGTCTATGTCCCAGGCAACAACGAGCTCCGGCTCAGCTCGTCGGCTCGTGGCTCGGGCATGCTCTCCACCGAGGCGTTTGAGCAGGCGCGGGCGGCGGCTGCTCGGGCCGGCGCCATTGTCGACACGGCGATTGTGGGCGATGTCCTCGTTGTTCCGCTCGCAGGATGGCACTCGGCGCACTTTGATGGCGGCAAGCACTTTACCGGCGATGTGGCGTACCAGCGGCGATTCCTCGACTTTCGCGCCACCCGATGGCCGAGCTCGTGGCCGTCGGCCAGCCTCGACGGCGCGCCCGACGCGGCGGCAGAGTACTTTGCCCAGTTCAATGCTGGCAACATGGCGGCGGCCAAAGCGGTGCTTCAGAGGAGGGACAAGCGGATTTCTGCGCTGATCACGGCCTCGCACTTTTTGCCTCGCCTCGACGTGCTGCCTTGGCGGGCGCGGACGTTCATGTCGTCGGACGTGGTCAAGGTCATCGGCGACGACCGCATCGAAGACCAGATCCGCGAGCTACACACGGAGCTCGACGGCGAGCATGGTACTGCCCACGTCCACGTTTCGGGCCACGTTCACATCAATCACAACAAGGTCTGTGAAGGCGTGCGCTACGTTCAGAACGCGCTTGGGCACCGCCGCGAGCGGGCGCGCAGCTGCTGGACGTGGCTCTCGTCGGACGATGACTACGCACCGCTGGCGATCTTTCCCTAGCAGCTTTGCACCGGTGACGGGGCAAGGCCCGCCAGCCAGCGGCGGGCGTTGGCGCTGGTGATGGCGATGACTTCAGCGAGAGTAGCGTCCCAGGCGACAGCGAGCGCGGCAACGAGCGGCGTGTAGTCAGCAGCCTGCTCGTTGGCCTCGTACTCTTCCAAGTCCGACTCGAGCAGGACTTGCTCGCGCGGAATAAGGGCAATTGCTGCGTCAGTGAGCTTGGCGCTTCGCGGGCTTGAGTAGTTGATGGCCGGCGAGAGGCCAAAGAACAGGACGTCCGCGAGCGGGCCGCGGATGGCCAGCAGTGAGGTGATTAGCCCGGCTTTGAGCGAGACCGAATGCAGGGCGACGCCCGACGGAACAAGCCCGCGGCGGCTCGCGCTTGCCAGAAACTCAAACAGGTAGCCACCGGCCTGGACACAGTGGATGGAGACCGGGAGGCCGCGTGCAGCCGCGAGATCAAACTGGGCCTCAAACAGCGGCTTCTGGGCGATGTTAAAGGCCAGCCGATTCCGCCCGTTCCGCGACATCTCGGCGTATCCGTCGGGCACCTCGCCATCGGCCTCGGCTTGCGGATGCCAGCCGCGGAACTTGTCGACTCCGATCTCGCCCACAATGACTGTGTGCCCGGCCGCCGCCGCAGCGTCGAGCCGGTCGCCGAGGCGGGCGATGTAGCTCGCGACGGCGGCCGAGACAGTGGCATCGGTCGGCAGATCGTCGACTCTCAGCGACGGCAGCTCGACAACCGAGGTGGCATACCACGGATGTGTCCCGTAGCCACCGATGCGCCACGGCGAGGCCGATGCCGACGCCGCTGCCGAGTCTGGGCCCGACTCGAGCCACTCCGCGAGCATGTCCCAGTCGTCGCTCTCGGCGACCGCCATGCTCACAGCGCCGGCGCCGACCATTTGGGACTGACCGGATCCCGTGTGGAGGTGGCAGTGGGTGTCTAGCACCTCTGTGCATGCAGCCGGCGAGAGCGGCGAGAGCGGCGAGAGCGAGGCCATGTGTGGAGAGGGGTGTGTGTGTGGCTCGGTTGGTGCGGGCACGCACCCACTCATAACACACGCGGACACGCTCTCCGTGAACACCCACGCAAGTGCTTGTGTTTGTCTTGTTCTTTAAGGTCGCTTGGACTTACTTCATCTTGCGGACGTAGAAGTCGAGCTCCTCACCCTCGAGGACGTAACCGTCGGCGCGGCCGCACTGGCCAGGGCGCGAGGTGAGCTTGGCGTAGAGGCGGCCAGTGTTGAACTGGCGCTTGATGGCCTCCTCGAGCGGCTCGAGGTCAGCAGCGCGCTTGACGTGCTTGGACTGGCGCTTGACGGCCTCGGGGTTCTTGCCAAGGGCAATGCCGTAGTACGACTTGTAGTACTGGCGGAACGGGTGGCGTCAATCTGGACAATGGCCGACTTGACCAGGGTCTTGGTACGCAGGAGCTCGTTCGACGTGGCGTTGTACACGACATCGATGATGCGGCACTTGCGGGTCACAGCTGGTAGCACAGGCAGGCAGGATGTAGATGGTGAGTGGGAGGAGAGGGGAGAGGGAAGTGGGCAGTGGGAGGGGAGGGGGGGGGGGGGGCGACAATTCGACAATCTCCGGACGGATCACACCGACACAGAAGAGAGAGGGAGGGCGGGAGGAACAAGGAGGGGGGATGGGGAACGAGGCAGTGCTTACCCTCCGAGGGCCACGAGAAGTTGCCGCAGTCCAGGCGGAGGGCACGGAACTTGTAGTTGCCGCCGCGGACGCGGTACGGGTGGATGCGCTTCTCAGCGCCCGAAGACACAAGCTTGGTGTTGGCGGCCTGGCGGCCCATCTCGTACTTGCGCTTCTTGCGCCAGCCAGCGCGCTTGCCACCAGTCGCGCGGCGCTTGTGCCGCGAGTCACGAGAGATACCCTATCCGCACACATGCCGCATACACAACACCTTGTTCTGTGAGTCGCTCGCTGCTCTTAGCCTGCTTGTGGCTTGTGTTCCGCTCCCAGACTCGGTCCGCCATCACACAAAATAATTGCCCACCGCGAGGCGACGACGGCCAGCCCCCCTAGGTAGCCAGAGGCCATACCCACAGGCATAGCCATGCACACAGGCCACAACGAGGACGCACACCTTGCGCTCTATGCCTATCTATGTCTGTGGCATCCTCCTCATGCTCTACCTGGTAGACGCCCTTCCTGACTGCGCCAATGTGCCCAAAATACTCCGTACCATGGTCGATGTGTGTGAAGAGAGAAACGGTGCCACTCCATTCTCACTTTGCCTGCTTTGCCATTCACGCGAGCTCAACTCGCTCGCTGCCACCGAACCGAACCGAATTGGACGAATCGACCCAATCGACTTGAATCCATGATTGACACTCTCGTTGCGTAGCAACCGATGCTGAGAGGGGGAGGGGGAGGGGGGACTCGCTGTGGTTGCTGGGATGGTGCGCTGGCTTGAGGGGGTGCAGGTGAGAGAGTAGATGGGATGGGGATGGGGTGGGAGCTGATTATCGCTTGCACTCTCGATCGCCGCGTTCCATCCATAGCTCGACGTCATCAATGGAAGGTCGGCTTGGCTCGTGAGGGGCAATAGACTTGTCTCGGGAGCCTTGCTGCGGGGCGCGGACAGACGGCGGAGGAGCAAGAGGATGGAGACACTGGCTGCGCTGGCAGAGATCGAGGCGGTGTCGCCGATGGCGCGGATCGAGGCGTTGGCCGAGGCGCACCATCTGCGGGTGTGGCGGGCGGCTGATGAGAGCATGGTCTCGCTCAAGTACACCAGCGAGACCAAGCTGACGAGTACAATGGCGCGCGAGTGCCGTGGGCTGGTGCTGGAGCGCGATGATGGGCAGAGTGCGAGCGGCTGGAGGGTTGCTGCCCGGCCGATGGACAAGTTCTCAACGCCGGCGAGCCGGATGGCGCGGCCGAGGCGGCGGCCTTTGACTGGCCGTCGGCTCGGGCGTACACCAAGGCCGATGGCACGTGCATGCTGCTCTACTACCGAGCATCGATGGAGGCGTGGCAGGTGGCGACACTCGGGTGCGGCGATGGCAGCAATGCGGTGACGCGGAGTGTGGCGGACAAGACTTGCGGCAAGGCAAGCGGGGCAGTCGAGACAGCGATGCCGGCGTCGGTGAGCACGGCCGGCACCTTTGCCGACCTGTTCTGGGCTGTCTTCCACGACGTCGAGGGCTATGCACTGCCGGACGACCGGTCGGTGACGTACGTGTTCGAGCTCACTTCGCCGCGGAACCGCGTGGTTGTTGTCCACGATACAGCGGCGCTGGAGCTGGTGGCGATGCGGGAGACGGCGAGCGGCGATGAACTGCGGCTGGATGCTCCGCAAGGTTCTGGTTTCCGGCCTGTAGCGGAGAGATGGAGGGGGAGAGCAGGCGACAGTGCGGCATCTGCGCTGGCAACGCTCCGGTCCGAGTTTGTAGGCGTGAGCCCGCTGCGGTTCGAGGGCTACGTGGTGGTCGACGCGGCGTGGCGGCGGCTCAAGGTCAAGCATCCCGGTTATGTGGCCATCCATCACCTGGACAACCGATTTGATGTCCGCAACGTGACCAACGTCATCCGATCGGGTGAGTCGAGGGAGTTCCTCACGTACTTTCCTGACTATGCACCGCTCTTTGACGACATTGCGGCACGGTTTGAGCGCCTCGCGGCACAGCTTGCGGCCGAGGCCGAGGCGCTGGCAAACGTGGGCGCGGGCAAGGCGGCTTCGCGGATGCGGGCCACATCGGTGCTGCCTGAAGCGCTGGCGCTCGTGGCCAGCGGGGCGACAAAGGTCCGCGGCGCTCTGGCGCAGATTGAGCTCAAGGCGCTGCTCGGCGCGCTGCGGCTGAAGGACGTCAAGGCCAAGTCAGGCAAGCGCAGGGCGGCTCGAAAGCGGGCGCGCAAGGCGGCTGCGGCCGCAGGAGCTGCGACGCCATGTGGCGGTGGAAGCGACGAGGGTGCAGGCTTGGGCGATGGCTGGATGGCGGCGGCAAGCCGGTGGCGCCACGGCTCGCCCGACTCGACCGACGTCGACGTGGTTTATGTGGTGCCAGCAGGGGTGGCGCTTCCGAGCTCGAGCGAGCTGATCGAGTTTGTGAGGAGAGGCAAGGAAGCCGGCGAAGATCGCAACGTGGTGCAGCTCGATGCGAGCGGGCAGGTAGCGTTTACGCTCAAGGGTGAGGCTGACGAGGTCAACAACGCGCTGGTAGCAACTGTAGGGCTGCATGCCAGCAACGCCGGGCGCACATGCCCGATTGCGGGCGTCCGGCGGCGGCGGGTGCTGCAAAAGGCGCTCAATGTGAGCTCTGCACTGGCGGGTATTGTGGCACACGCGACGAGCGACGAGGAGTTGCGGGGCGCGTGTAAGAAGGTGCTCCGCAATCGCGATGGGCGGGCGCGGTTTGCCGGCCTGGCGCGGGTGCTGGGCGGAGCGAGAGCGGAGCATGTGTGTGCCACCATTGACGTCGACGCGCGCAAGGCCGTGGCGATGCAGCTTGGCCTCGCGGTCCTGCTCTCCCGCGGCATCGAGGTGTACACCAAGGGCGAGGTGGCGGCGGCGCTGCCGGGCCTCGCGCCGCTGCTGGGGCGGGCGGCGGAGCCTGGGGCGGACGCTGTGGGCGCGCTGGGCGATGCCATCGACGAGTGGGCGAGCGGCATGGCCGGACTGCAGTGGAAGAAGGTCAAGGGCGGATGGATCGAGGTACGGGAAGGGCGAGCCGAAGGCGGAGGCATGGCTGTGGGTGCGGTGGCCGCCGAGGTGCGCGAGGCCGGCAAAGGTGGACTGCGGGTGCGCAGCAAGGAGTGGCGTGTGGCGTATGAGGGCATGAGGTAAAGATGCACGACAGAAGGAGGGGCGGTGGTGTGTGAGAGATGGTGGGCGCCTTGGCGAGGACCTGGATGTTGTTCAACGGCGCAAAGAGCGCCTTACCGACGTCCGCAAGCACGCGCGCCGCCGCACCCGACGCGCGCGAGTCGCGCCGCGACTCCTTGAGAGCAAAGTATGGGTTGTTCGCGTCAGGGCACTTATTCAAGTACGACGCCGCGTACGAGTACGACTGCGGCGCGTTCAGCGAGGGGCCCGAGCTCCCGCGCGCCGCCGGGTCTCTGCGGCAGACACAAAGAGCGCGACGACGTGAATCACCTTGCACGTGGCAAGCACCGAGTTGCCCGAAAGAATGAACGAGCCCCTGCCCTCTCATCGTCAAGGAGTACAACAACCATATGGGCGGCGTCGATCTCAACTCGCGCCTGCGCGCCTCGCTCTCCACTGCGCCGCCGAGGACGCGCAAGTGGTGGCACGCCATCTTGTACTGGATGCTGGACGCCGCGCTCATCAACGCGTACGCCCTCTACGCCTATCATCGACGCCCTCGCCGCCAGCGCCGACGCCGTCGGCTCCACGCCGTCGCGCAAGCGGAAGCGTCCCTCTGCAGCGGCTGCTTGTCATCACCACTCTCCCCAGCAAGCCGCTCTGCGACGCGACTGCCTCGCCTGCCGGAAGGTTCATGGTAAGCGATCGCGACCGCGGACCTCTTGCGCCGCGTGCGGCGCCCATCTCTGCATCGCCGACTGTTTTCTGTTGTGGCCCACTCGTGGCCGCAGCAGACATTAACACATTGAACTACTATTCTACCGCAATTGATGGACGTTGCGACGTCTGTGGAGCGCAGCTTGTGCGACGGACAAATTTGTCCATTCCGTACCGTAAAGGTTTAAGCGTCGGCGTTGACGTTGAGGCCCATCGGGACGATGGGGCCGTCGTCCTCGTCCTTGGGCTCGAGGATGGTGATGACATCGGGCTGCGGGACCTTGACGCCACCAAGCTTGCCCTCGGGGTCCCAAGGGAGCATGATGGTGACCTTGATGCCGAGAACGCCCTGGCGGAGGAGGACGTGGCGGGTGGCCTTGTCGAGGTAGGCCTTGGCGGGGTGACCGGTCTTGATCATGTAGCCGTCAACGAACTTCATGGCCTTGGCACGGGCAGCACGGAGCTTGCCAGTGACGATGACCTCGCAGCCCTTGGCGCCAGCCTCCATGATGAAGCGGACGACACCGTAGCAAGCGCGGCGGACGGGGAGGCCACCGGCGAGCTTGTAGCGGAGCGACTCGGCCTGGGCAATGGCGCAGAGACCACGGTTCTGGACCTTCTGGGCGTACAGCTCGATGCCGCCGTCGGGGAAGTTGAACCGCTGCTGGACAACAGCCGTCAGCTCGCGAATGCGGCGGCCGCGCTCGCCAAGCACGTTCTGGGTCTGGGTGGCCTTGATGATGATCTCGGTCCGCGAGGGGGTGACCCGGACGTTGACACCGGCGTAGCCGTCGTCGGCAAGCTCGGCAGTCAGCATGTCGTTGAGCTCGGCGTAGAACACGCCATCGGCGACAAACTGGTGACCGTAGTTGCTCACTGTGAGTTGCTTGCCCATCATGACGGTCAGCAGACAGACAAAAGCTGACAAATCGTCCTTTTGCTGGCCATGCCATCCCTCCCTCCCCCCCACTCCGTCCACCACCACAGACAGCAGGGGCAGTACGCCAGGCCCACACCAGCAAGGTGTACTGTCCACCACCTCCGCCTATACACATGCTGTGGCTCGGCACCGTATGCTACACCCCACCCTCACCCGCTGGTCGTACCTTGCGCTTCTTAGACACGGCAGCCATGATTGAATGTGAAAGAGGTGTGGTGAAAAGCGAGCAGCGGTAAATCCCCAACACTTTTGCCACCCTTGCCCCCCCCGCTCCCCGGCTGGCGAACGATCGGAAACGGAACGAATTGGTCAGGGGGAGGGGGTGTGGGGTGGGGTGGTGGGGGGGGGGCGGGAGGGGTGGTGGGGGGTGGTGGGGGTGGTGGGGGTAGCTCACTTTGTACCGCAATGAAGGTATGTGTGTGTGTGTGTGTGTGTGTGTGTGTGTGTGTGTGTGTGGTAGTGTGGTGGTGGT